TAAACCTAATTATCTATTACAACCATATTGAACATTGTACAAAATTGAAAATAAAATGTAAGAATATAAATGGAAAAGAAATTATTTTTGTTGTTTTTTATGAAAGGGGTTTTGTCTTAACCTAATTAAAGCAAATGATTAATTAAAATTAAATAAAATTAACTTAAACTAATTAAGAAAAAAAATTAATTTGAAAAGGATTTTTAGGGTTTTTTTTATGCAAAGATTTTAAATTAATGAGAATAAAATGAAGATTAATTAATTAAAATATCCTAAGTTCTAGATTAATTTTAACTAAGAAAACAAAATAATATATTAATTTAAACTAAGCCTAAAAGATAATTATTTAAGGAAAAGGAAAGAAATTTATTTATTTTAAGAAAATGTTTTTTTATCTTTTTATTTTATGGAGAAAATGAAATACATAAGTATAAATAATAAATATAAATAAATTTGGATTTTTTGTGATTTTATGAAAATAATAGTAATAATAATAATAATAATAATAATAATAATAAAAATATTAATAATAATAATAATAATAATAATAATAATAATAATAATAATGAAGAAAAATAAAATAAAAATATAAAGAAAAGTCAAGGGGTGGATCAGTAAGGCAAGAAGTATTATGAGAAAAAAATGGTTAGGCCCATGTGAAAAGCCCAAGCGCTCAAAAGCATAAAAAAAAGTCAGAAAATTATGAAAAATGGCAAAAGGTCTCGCTGGAGCTTGAACCCAGGACCTAAGGGTGAACAGGCACGCGCTTTAACCAATGGGGTGGTGATACATCCGTTAACTTATGTGAAAGGATAAATACATAACACAAAACGCGCCCTGATTACACTTCATCTTCAACCTCTAACCAAAGGACATGTATCTTCTTCATCTCTTAACAAAAATGAAAAGTTCAAACATGAAAGTTGTGGCATTTCTTTCCAGGAATCCAACCATATAAACAACTTAAGCTAACAGTCAAAGATGAAAGAGAATTTTTCTGGCCCTAATTCAAAACCTAAATATTTCATAAAACTTCAACTCTAAAATTCTCTAAGCTCAGGCCATATAAATGCAAACTATGGATATGTACAGCTTCGTGGCAATGTTATCTGCATTTTATGTTCACGAATCAAAGCTTAACAATGCCTAAATATGAAGATAGAAGTTCAAGAAAAATACCTCAAAACTGGAAATCGTGAAATGGATTTGAGCTTGTTTTAGGCAGTGGTGATGATCAGGTTAGCTTCCTTGGACCTCTAGGAAGCTAATGCAATGGCTGGCTTGAGCTGAGGGTGGCTGGAATAGTCTGGAGAAGTTAAGATGCAGACCTCTGTTTTTGGTTATGGAGGATGGTATAAACAGTGTTACAGTTAGCAAACAGGTATTGGAATGGTTTGTGTATGATGCTAAGAAGCTTTTGGAAGTGTTAAGCCAAGAAACGCACGAGTGGTTTTGAAGATTGAAGTTCAAAGTCAGAAATGACACCAAAATGGAGGTTTTGTGCAATCTGAGTTTTCAGGGAGTTTGGGAGCTTTTTCAATTGTGTGTTATGTTGCAATACACTTGTATAATTATATGGAAAATGTTAGAGGGTTTGAAGTTGACAGAACTGTGAGATATAAAGTTATGGCTGTTACTTGATTTTGAAGAAAAGTGGGAAAATAAGTTTCAATGTGTAGTACAAGCATGGCCTGGGTTTATGGGAGGCTCTAGACATGTTGCTTTTGCCTTTGACATTGCTTGTGATCATAAGGAACAAGTTAGGAGCTCTATGTATTGACTTTGTGATTAAAGTCACTTTTTCAAAATGGAAGTGTGAACTTTGTTCCATTAATGGAATAATCACTTGGACAAAGACTCAAACACTTGGATCATAGCTCAAATAGTTGTGTAATATTCTGATTATGGATAGATTTTAAGGTTTGGAGGCCTACAAATCAATATTGTACAGCATAGGTTTGAAATTGAATTTTTGTTCATCACAAAATGACTTGTATTTCAAGTTTGAAAATCCTAACTTCCTCTCTCTGATTCTCCTTTCTCAAGAATGATCTCAAGGAGTTTTTAGAAATTTTGGAAAGCTTGTTACGTTCTCTACAACCCCTCTTTGGATCACTTTTGAAAATTCCCCTTGGAACTATATGAAAAAGTTCCATGAAGTTAGGTCAAAATCCTGACCAAAACTAGGGCAAAATTTCACTAAGTGTTCAATTTCAAGACCATGACTTTATGAATTAATAACTTGAGATCCAAGCATTTTTATAAGAAGTTGTGTAAATAAATGTTATAGATATCATGGATATCTACAACTTTCATGTTGAAAGTTTCTCCTGAATCCTCTTGCACCATTGTGAAAAATTGGCTCAAAGTTATGAAAAAACGTGAATTTTTAAACACTTAGAAAAATTTCTAAGTTAGAAAACTTTTACTTTTCAAAATGAAATCTTGACTTTTTTATTTCTTGATGAATAAGTTTCATATTTTGACATGTTTTGATGAATTGTGATCTTTGACATTGGATTTTGACCAAAAAGTTAAAGTTTGACTTTTCAGTGTACAGTTGACTTTTGATCAGTTGACTGAAAATTCACTGTCAATCCAATTGATCGTGAGCAATATTTTAGGTCATGTCATTAGGTTAAAATGATGCAATTGAACTCTTGAAATCATGCTTCAAACCAATTGGCCATTTGCTAGGTCAAAAATCAGAAATTGCCATTTCTTAGTCAAAATCCTAATTTTGACCATTTTGCCCTTTTGATGATTTGATCAAATTTCTTGAGGAATTATGGTCCAAACTTTATCAAATGATACATATGAGTTTATAATATTGATGTGGATCAAAAATTATGAAGTTTGACTGTAAATTGGCCATAATTGACTTTTTCCTCAATACAGCTGATTTTTAGGTCAACTGCTCAATTGACTGAGCAAAAGTGTGATCCAAGGCTTGAAACTTGACATGAGTAATCTTGGGGGGTCCATAATTATCCATGAAAGTTATATGAAGCATTGAAAGTTCAATTATCCTTGTGCAATCTCAAACCCTAATTTTGGTCATCAGTGCTTAAGGAGGTGTCTTGAGCTGATCAACCCTAGTGCAGTCTTGAACCAAGAGAGATCTTTGTGAGAAATTTTTTGATAAATGAGAGGGAAAATTTTGGGGTACAACACGTGGTATTTAAGTTGTTTTGAATTAGGAACCATGAACAACGAAGTTTCTATGATGTGTTTAATAAAGACGTTTTGAACAATGAATTTCACTGGGAGTAGTTGAAGCATTATGGTTGTTATTTAATGAGGTATTTGTTATAAATGATTTTGAAAACCCGTGTTACGGAGTAAGACATGTATGTATGATATATTATGAAGCATGTGACGCCCTTTTGGTGAAATACTCTAATTATTTATTTATGTTATTTGTGGAGTTTTAGAAGGGTGTTACATGATCCTTCACTTTTCAAAATGGAGAGTGAACCAACTGACAATACGAACTGGCTTATTCACAAACTAACAACCTCTTATAATAAAAACACAATAAATAATATGATTATTCGAATATATATATATATATATATATATATATATATATATATATATATATATATATATATATATATATATATATATATATATATATATATATATATATATATATATATATATATAAGTCTCGAAGAAAACAAACCTAAAAAGTGTTTGGCATTATTATACATCTAAAACTTCTCTCATATTTTGAGTGTGCATTTAAATCTTTGGTTTATAATAAGTTTGTATAATAAGTATTTGTATAATAAGTTTTTAATAGTTTTATTAAAGAATTTAATTGATATACACCGACGGTGTATATCAGTTTTACACCCTCAGTTAATCGTAACTGTCACATTTTTATAATTGTTTGACTTTTATTTTAATTGACTTCAAAGTATTATATATGAGTGGTTGTGATACACTACATGTAGGGGTGGCAAACGGGCATGCCCGCCTCGTTTAGGCCCGCCCCGCATGAGCCCACAAAAAACGGGACAGGGTGGGACGAATATTATTTAGGATGCGGACCTAAAACTTATCCCCGTCCCGCAAAAAAGTGAGGACAGGGCGGAAAAAGCTCGCGGGCACTGCATCTTTTAAACATAAAAACACAAAATTTATGTAAATGCACGTGTCTGTAAAAGCTCACGTATAAAATAGGGTGAGACGGGACGGACACATTAGAGGGTGAGGGCCTAAACCCTTGATCCACCCCGCATTAAAGTGCAGATAAAACGGACATATCCAACGGATCGAATCCATTTTGCCACTTCTAACTACATGTGTAAAAAAATTTACACAAACAGTGCATGTCAATTAACCTCTTTATTAAATGCATAGGAGTTCAAATTAATGTTAAGGTGGTTAAAGTAGACATTTCCATGAAATCATATCTTTTCATTTTCCTGAATTAAATATTACGTTATTTAAGAGTGAGATATGTCATTTTATTTCATCCGGTGAATCTTTTATTGGAGACAGTCCTAGTCCGAAGAATGGAAGGAGATTGTCTCCCGTCAAAAAAAATTCAGTGAAATCATATCCCTTCATTTTCCTCAATTAAATATTATTGTTAATATTTTAAAATGATTCATGGTTGAGATCTGTCACTTTATTTTAAATTTACCGGAGACATATCCCAAAAGAATTCATACTTTCACAGCTTCTCTTTTCATTCTTGTTAGAGAAGTAAGCCGTTACCACTCTTCCCTCCCAAGTCACAATCCAAAATCACATTATCTCAAACACTTATCCTTTTCCTACCTATGGAAGGAACAGTGGTTTCATTCAAACCTCAAACACCATAATAGCATTGCAAGGAAGCCTCTTGCTTTTTCATTAGGCCACAATCCCCAAACCACCTCTAAAAGGAATCACTTTATGCAACTCCATAAGTGATCCTTTTCCTTTCTCCATCTTCCAACATATATATAACCTTCCACCTTCATCAATTTCCTATCATCATCACCATGTCTTTGAGTCCTCCAAGAGAGCGAATCAACGGCCAACATAGAAACTTCCAACTCTACTGGTGCTTCCAATGCAACCGCTCCGTCCGCGTCGCACCGGATAATTCCTCAGAGTTAATATGCCCACGCTGCTTCGGCCAATTCATATGCGAAATCACCATACCTAGACCAAGGCTCATGATAGACTTCACCGCACACGATCCCTCCCCAGAAGCGCGTTTGCTAGAAGCACTTTCCCTCATGATCGACCCGCCCACCCGTCGATTCAACCCGGAAACCCAAACACGACGCCCGCATCGTAACACACAAGAAGTCCCCGTGCACCGACGCACAGGTGAAAATCCCAGCACCCGAACACAACCCGAACCCGGAATCCAACATCGTCCACGTACATGGGTCATTCTTCAACCCGTTAGTCCTTCAGATTCAAACACTTTCCAACCCGTGATTCATCCACGTGGGCGACAGGGACCGATTCCACGTGGCGTTGATGCAGGAGATTACTTTTTCGGTCCGGGTTTTAATGAACTGATAGACCAAATAACGGAAAACGACCGGCAAGGTCCGCCGCCGGTGCCAGAGAGAGGTATAAACGCGATTCCGACGGTGAAAATTGAGAGTAAGAATCTGAAAGAGAATTCGCATTGTCCTGTTTGTCAGGAAGAGTTTGAAATTGGCGGTGAAGCGAGGGAACTTCCATGTAAACATATTTATCACTCGGATTGCATTGTTCCGTGGCTTAGACTTCATAATTCTTGTCCAATTTGTCGACAAGAGGTTCCCGTAGGTTCTGATGATGAGTGTATTAATGATGAAGGTGGGGGAGGTAGGTTACGGAGGTGCTTGAGGTGGAGTCGTGTTACGTCTCTTTGGCCTTTTCATGGAAGGTATAGGAGAGTTCATCCTCAAAGACACAATGCTTCTGCTTCTTCTTCAACAAGGGGTGATTAAAAAACTAAATTAACTACATGCGTGCTTAATACCAAAAAATGGAATTTGAAAGAAAGAAGAAGAAAAAAAAAGCATTATTGTGTAATTTTTAGTCATCAAGCTCGTGATTTAACTCATTAAATTTATCGCTAGTAAAACATTACAGTCTCGTTTTTGCATATTATTTGTTATGTTATATACACTTAAATTCACTAGTCTTTATGTTTTTTTCAGAATCTAATTCAAGGTGGCATTTTTGCTGCATTCTTTAATATGGGCAATGATTTACTTCAGCTTGAGGCTCAGATCATGCATATCATTTCAGCTTGTTAATCTGTAATCGCAGTAGACTAGTTGTCGTAGTCACAAGTGAGTTGTATATTTGAACCTCGATACATGCAGTTTTGCTTACTCTTGCAAAACTCTCACGTTTTTTCATTTAGTATAAAGGATTGTTTGGTAATGTTTTGCAGGAATAAAATGGTCTTACAAACAAGGTCAAGAATCGAAACAAAGCAAATGAAGTTGGACATTTGTGCAAAACTGTTGTAAATAATGTTTCTCTATGCTGTTGTTGTAAATAATGTTTCTCTTTCTTTCATAGAGGTTACATTTATTTGTTAATTTTATTAATATCTAAAAATGTAGATACTTGATATCAATTAAATAGGCATACACTAGGAATGTTGATTGACATAAAATTAAAAATTGGTTACCATGTAACATTATTGTGTCTGCTGTAAGAAATTGGTTACATACATATAATTCACATTTCTATCAAATCTGTCTAATTATAAAAATTAATAAAGGCAATTAAAGCTAGCCCAGTTTTGATAATGCCTAAACCAAACAGTGTATTACCTTACCACTACGCATAATTAGATTCAGAATCTATAATGTGAAGATTGCTCTTGTAACCGGAATAGGCTTCATGTTTTTTAATATCAATTTGTTTAAAATCCTCTGGATAATCAAAACATTTTTACAAATGATTATTCTGTTAATGCATGGTATCATCACAATCAAAACACTGGCAAAATAGTGTTTAAATTTCAATCCATCTTTTGTATTCCTGCCAACAAATCTCATGTTCTTACACAAACCTCACCATCAACGTTTTGGCTGATGGAGAGTACCGGCATGGAACCCTTCTGTATATGCAGTGTTCTTAAATATCATCTGCAATAAAAGTAATCTCGCGATAAGACTTTGGTGATCTTAAACATATTCCAGCAGTAAAAATAATAGTGATACTGGTAAACTATTGAAATTAACTTTTATATAAAAGGGACATGATTTTCAAAAAGGGGAAAATTTGATGGCACGGCCATATACTTACAGCAAGATTTTTAAAATCTGAGATGAGGTTTTTCTGTAATTTGTCTGATACCGCAGTACCCAGTTGGTCTCCATGTGTCTTTATAGTTTCGTCATTGATCTGTATAGCCAACACTCTTCAGCCTGATGCAGAAAGTATAGCATAAGTTTGAAAATGAAAGAAAGTATGCGTGTTTATTTTTACCTCTGAAAGCAATAATTTTGATGTTTTTTGCAATATCTCTTCAACTAATTTCCCAACGTCTGCAGAGGATCTTGATGACTGAACATCTTTTCCCGGGGTTCCTTTTGAATTGTTCGCAGCTACAGATGGCTTGACAACTTTGACTGCACCAGAAAGATTTTAATTCACTAGTGTAAGTAATCACTAGGACTTGTATGACAGTTTCTTCTACCGTCACAAAATTAACATATGTGCTGAACCTTTTCAGGTCCTAGCTTAGAGGTCATGTGTGAAAATATAAACCTTGCACAGTAACATAATGCTGAACCTTGTAGTAGACATTAGCCATATATACAAGTAGTTGTATGGACATTTTCATTTATTCTTAATTGATTAGTTGTCGAGAACCATTTCATTTGGGCATTTAGGCAATATGTAGAAAGCAAAAAATTGATTGTTTAAGTTGATTTAGTTAAGCATCAAGGCAAACTAGTGAAATATGTATGTAGCATACAAAAATAGGCTAGGCTAGGCAGGCTCCAAAAACCAATGACATACAACATCTTTCCGATATTACTACATTTTTTTGCCAAGATCTAGGATTTCTACCTATTCGTCTTGTTCCCCCGCCTGGGCCGGAGAATCTAATGAATGGCCCAAGGAAGTCAATGGCCCATGATGAAAATAATCCAAAACCACCCCTGAACATCAAGAGCGGTCGAATCAAGACTAAAGATCAACGGACAAGAAACATCTGATGACAGGTGGGTGGCTCTGGATGGAAGGTCCGACTCCAAGAGATTTGAAATCCTAGAAGGAGACTATAAAAGGGGAAAGGGGATTTTTCCTACTGGTACATGCATTCCTTACTCTAAAATACCTCTCACATCTGATAATCACTGACTCGAGTGTTTGGGTGTTCACAGTTGCAGGTACCCCTGCTGACGCCTGACCAGAAGCCTCACAACACCTATTGTAAGTCGGAGTTCACCATCAGATCCAAGCACACTAACCCATTGTGAGTATCTTAGATCTATGTAAGATCACATCTTAATCTCATAAAGTGGGAGAATCAACTCTAGCTCTCCACTAGCTTTCTCAGATCAAGCTTAGATAATAACTTATTCTACTCAAGATTGTTTACGTTTCATATCCATACAAAAAAGTAAAGACTACTATGAAAAGAAAAAATATTAAGTTAAAATGCAAGTACAAAATCCTCTCTGAATACTAAACAGAATTTTTAAATGAAGGCAACTGAAACAAACTGAACTAATCAGTTTGTATAATTCTTTACCTGGAACTGTCTTGGACTTATTTTCCTCGGAAACAAGGTTTCCGTCCTTAGAAGTTACTGCAGATGATTGTTTTCCTGGTTGATCGGGCAAAACTATTGAACCGGATGGAACTAATGCAGCTAGATCAGGGGGTTGATCTTTCCCCACTGTAGGATTGGCCTGTATGGCAATATGGTAAGACAAATGATGGTCATCAACCTATAATAGAATTTATTATTAAAAAACAAAATCTACAAGAGGTGTCACCTTAAATTAACTCACTCACCTCCAGATCGACATATGAGGGATCTCTTCCTATAGATTTAAGAAATGTGTCGAGACCACGTGCATTTAGAGCTGCAATTGTAAAGGATCATCTAACTTTAATTACTGAACTGTGTAGCACATCACGGCATAAGAGATCCGACACAAAACGAAAACCTTATTGACATGTCAATTGGACACAAAACGAAAACCTTATTGACATGTCAATTGGACACAAAAACTATAATTGTTCAATTTTAAAAAACGACAATAATATATAGCCATGAAAGGAAGTCTTGGTTAGACTTCGGGTATCAATTGGTGGACTCATCTCATGGTCTCATAAACCTTAACGGTCTGTTGTTTTCTTTTAGTGAGAAAGACTGATCACTTACATATGGACATGTCATTAGACAGTGGATGGAAGAAACAATGCTCATGTGTCTTGAATCCTTGATCTAATAGCAGCGAAACATCTCTTCAGAAAGTGAAAGATGTGGCATTTTTATAAAGAAAGAAAAAGACATCAGTTCCTTATAAATAGATTTTCCAAATGGGTGAGAACAATGTTTGTGAACAGTCTAATAAGCAAAAAATAAACACCACTAACAACAATGATTATTAACCAAGCTAGCGCACAATCAAACAGTTTGGCAAAGATCACGACATAAGCAATGATTCAATACATCCAGTTCAATCACTCGAGAGATATAAAGATTGAAAAGCAGCAATAGCTATTGAGAACTAGTAGAATTTCCTTAAATAAACTAGAAACCATTAAAAGAACAATAATACTTGATATAAAAGTTTAAGACTAAAAAGAGAAAACTACAATAACAAAAAAAACATAAACATGGATTTCAAGGCGAAACATCTTGTTACTGATAGAGGGAAATATGTTTACTAAATGACAAGGAATGGCATTGCAATCAATTTGTATATGCAGACACAATAAGAACAGAAGCATACCGTGCTGATTCATTCACTACTGCAAATGGTGTTACACAGCCCAAGGGTACCTGAGAGATAAGTATTCACATAAGAAGACAACAATATCAACCATGTTCTTCACATAAAGATATATAATGCCCAGCAATGAAAATGGTAACTAGCCTAACTTTACATTGAAATGGAAAAGAAAAAACACATAGTGTGCACATTCTAAAAATGCACACGCGCGCGCACACACTCAAACAACAACACAGACAGACCTGAAGTAATTCACCCAAAGCCTCTTCAGGTGCCATTCTCAAACCACCTTTTCCCAAACCAAGCCGCTGAGATAACACTGCTCCGCTTCAAAGCAACAAAGCAGTCTCATTAATAAGCGAGCCAATACATGCAAGTGAAAAAACTCCACATGTTTACAAAATCATGCATACCTTTCAGATCTACTTTGGTATCAGCTAAAGCAGAAACAACATAAAACCTGTTTTTCTTATCCTTTTTCACAATAGTAGTAACTTATCAGTCATATACATTCACTAACAACAATCATAGAAAAAAAAAAAAAAAGAGTAACAGAAACATATATATACCTTCAAAAATAGGTTTTTACTGAGTCCACCACCCAAATTTCCAACATACTTTGCCTGAAGGAAAAAAAAAATTGACACTAAATCAAAATTAAAAAAAAAATGATAGAATTTGAATTATGAAAGCATTTATTCATTTACCTGAGCTTCAACAGTCAAAACAACAGGATGCTCATACTTAGAAAATTCAATCCGAAGCTCCTGAAGAAACGAAGAAAATAAACGATTAATATAATTGCCACTGAAATTGGGGTAAAATCAAAGGAGTGTGAACAAAGACACGTTTGAATGAGAGAACCTGTAACCGGTGAAGTAGCTGTTCCTTCGAGAAACCCATCGGCGGCGGCGGAATTGTAACGGCGGCTTCGCGAAAAGAACAAGAGAGTGAAAACCCGAAAAACAAATGGGTTTGGTTTTAGACTATCCTATGCGGTTAAGACCCAATAAAAAAGTTTGAACCAACAGACAAAAATACGACGCTACAATTTTTTTTATTGCAAAAATAAAATTAAAATAAAAAGTTTTCCGCAGCTGGGAGTCGAACCCAAAATTTTATAAATAGGAACCATTACATAGAATTTGACAGTATTGCTACTGCGGATTTGATGATTAAAAATGCTACAATTTGTTATTAAAAATACTTACAACTAAATATATGTGACTAAAAATAATTAGATAGGTGAACTAAAATATTTTTATAAAGTCCTTAAACTTTAAATTTTTTCTTGGAATAACTTAATAATTAGGAACTTAATAGTTATTATTCTTTTGAAATAATTTCATATTTTCTTATCGCATGGGTCACTGGCCAACATGCTTCGCGAATAAGTCTATGAGTCTTTTAGATTTAGAAAGCCATATTTTCCTGAATTAAAATACACCTCATAATCCTCTTGGATAGAGATGGGCCATCAGATACTGTTGTACCATCTTTAATTAAATACTTTTCTTTCTTAATTTCAAAAGATAAAAATCATCTAGGTATGACAAATTTGGGGTACGACAACATGACCATGCATCATAGGCCATTGAGATCCATGAAATTGTTATTGAAAATGCTATGGTATGATGTTATGTACAAATATGCAAAGCAAGTAAGTTGTTATATACAAATAGTCATATACACACAAAGTAGACAAGTCCTTAAGTTTAGGCTTACATGAGGTTTGTACGTAGGTACCCTCTTGAAGTTTAGTTGGCTCAACCTGTCCTAGAAAGTAAATGGGTTATAGGGGATCTCAATATCACTAATCTTTCTTCATCAGACATTGTTTCAGCGCAAGCCTCTTTAATGGCGACCGAAATATCCCGAAAGTCTGATCTCAATGAGCGTAGCATCGAGTATCAACCAACTTCAGACTGCACCAACGTCGACTATCTCACTACTTCCTAATGGCCAAGTTGTTCAATTAAGGTTCTGAGGTTAGTTAGTGCTTCATGACACCACACAGCGGCGCCGTATTCTCCTTGACTACTGAAGGGCTACCGATACCAACAAATGTGTCACACTAACATAGTTATTGCTTCAACCATGTCAGTATACCTTGCACAGTTTCCATAATCTATTGCTACTTACCTAAAAGGTGCCCCAGATCCGGGTAGAGGATCAAAACAAACCCAAACAAGGAACCAATGTAAAGCATGCAATTCAAACAAGGAAAGTAAGTAAAGGTGATCTAGTCCTAAGGTAATTCCACTTTTAAACTTCCCCAACAGAGTCGTCAGTTCTGTAACATGGTGGGAGAACTGACTTGGTTGTTTTGCGTTTGATCGCAATTGTTGCAGATAGCAAGAGTCGCCACCAACTTTTCTTTTATCCAATAAGAAAAGGGTGAAAAGAACAGGAAAGACCTTTGAGATTATATTCTTTAGTTCGGGGGGTACGTTATGAAAAGGGAATGTATTAACACCCTTTTCATCCGTAGGTATCTACGGGCTCTTAGTTGCTTGCTAGATCACTTGCTTTTGTTTGAAAATGTGCTTGTGGTGTGGGTTTTGAAAGTATTTTGAAAATGTCTTTTTAATGGTTCTCGTTTCTATAAGAACGCGTACAAAGTGTTATTTTTTGAAAATAGTTCAAAGTGGTGTTTGTGGAATGTGTTTTTGAGAGTGATTTTGAAAAGTGTCTTTGTAATGATTCTCGTTTCTATAAGAATGCGTACAAAGAACATTGTCTTTTGAAAATGTTTCAAATGAAAGTGTTGGTGTATAAAATGTTTTTGTTGTGAGCAAGCGAGCAACTAGGAGCATCCTACCTACTCAAAAGGTCTATGTTCTTTTCCTCCTCCTTTAGATGTTGTTATCTTATCATTGATTTGGTAAGAAGCCCCATCATTGGATGTGACGGGACGGACGTGGGACGTTTGTATAGTCATGGAAGGCAACCTATGGGACGTTTTAGCAATGTCATTTAGGGACTAGATCTTTTACCGAAGGCAACATTGAGGGTCATCGAGGGACTACGATCTTTTATCAAGGGTCTTTCCTAAAACGCCCATATTCGAAGGACATGACTATTTTTCCGAGGCAACAAGTGAGATTACCCTAAGGGTGCATGTGTGAATAGTGTGTTTGATTTGTATGCATTTAGTCTTTGATTTTTAGGTTGTCTACTCGTTGGTTTTTATCTTGCCATACATCCTAATTACTAACATTTATACAAAAGTAATAAAAATGCAGAAAATAAATCCTACACTATTACAACCATATTGAATAGTATGAAAATGTAAAGACAAAACAAAAATAAAATAAAGAAAAATGAATGATTCGATCTAGTCAGAAAAACCCTTCGATTCTGCTCTTCCTGGCTTCCTTCGATTGGGGCCTGGAAGTAGTGAGGACGTGCCTTTCGATTTGGGCTTAGTCTGAAGCATGAGATGCAGCCTTCGATTCTGCCTTTCTGCTTCCTTTGACTGGGGCCTGAAATCAGTATGGCTATCCTTCTGGTTGCCTCTTTCATTCAGCATGAAGTGCACTCTTCACCTCAAGTCCCTTGCTGCCTCCTTCGATTGGGGCCTGGAATTCAGTGTGGAAGCTTAAGGCTTCGTTTCGTACCTCATTCCTCCTGTTTCTTTCATTTGAGATTTTAAATAGCAACATGGCCTGAGACCATGCTAGAATTACCTTATGGCCAGGTTAGTTCTTAAATCATACTTAATAAACCAAGAAACAAAACCAAAAGAAGTATAAATAAAAACAAACTAAAAGGGTGGAAACGAAAAGGAAACAAAATATTGTGTACATGTTTTTGAAACGAAAGGGAAGACTATTCACATGTTATGCTAGAAACGGAAGCTTCAAGGTTAAGAGTAACTTAGCTTGCTTGAAGTTGGAATGTGTGCTGGACCTTGAGTGGCTTCCCTGAGTACTCCTGGATTCGAATGGAAGAAACATGGGTTATGCTTCTTGTACTGGATTCGAAGGTCAGGAGATGTGAGTGATGGTTTCAGATTCGAAAGAGAAAAAGAAACAGGTGTTGTGTTTCTTTAGATTCGAAGGGCCAAGGAAACAAGTGTAGTGTTTTCTTCTGGATTCGAAGGGCCAAGGAAATAAGTGTTGTGTTTCTTCTGGATTCTGGGTTTAGTGTTTGAGAATCTTAAGAGTTTGAGAGTTTTGATGATTTTTGAAGATTCTTTCCACCCATAAAAGTTCTCTGGATGTGTTGTCCATCCCCTTATATATGTTATGGAGTCTCTTATTTATAGGAAAAGCTGACTGAGATTTAGGAGGGAAAATAAAACAATTTGAACAAATTGAGTAAACTACTCTTTATAGCTTTCGAGGAGCAGTGTTCGTATGTCATTTTGGTGCAATAATGGGGCAGTGTTTCAGGACTGATGTGCAGCAGTTTTGGAGCGTTATGTCTAGTGTATCAGGCCTGAACTTGGCAACAAGTATCTTTTGATATCTCCATCTTTTGTTTTGACCCCCCTTCGACCAGATTCTCCTTCAAACAATGTTATTTGATTTTTCACCCAACAAGTGTCTTTCGAATGGGTCATTTGCGCATCCTTCGAAGGAGCCAAATGTGTGCTCCTTGAATGGATCCAAAGTATTCCTTAAGGTGGGTCTTGTAAGTCCTTCAAATGGGCCATCAAACATGTCCTTTGAATGGGACACCTAGACATGTCCTTTGAATGGGTCATGTATGTATCTTTGAAAGGGCCAAATGTGTCCTTCGAATGGACTATGCAATTCTTCGAATGGGCTAGTAAGGTATATCCTTCGACAGGGACCCCTATGTATGCCCTTCAAATCCACCAATACACGACCTTTGGAAGGGGGGCCACCACCCATGTGTGCTGAAGGTTGTCAAGGGTGGAATTGAAGCATACTAAAGGGAAACGTTGTCAAGTCGAAGCTAGTATAAACATAGCCAATGCCCTGTCGAAGCCTGCATGCAGGAGGTCACCACTTTGCAAGCATACAAGAGGCTATTGCTCAAACGAAGGTTTGCATGAAGAGTCAATGCTCTGTCGAAGCCTGCATGCAGGGGGTCACTACTTTATGACTCAAGGCAAACATGTAAGGGGCCAATGATGCAATCGAAGCTTGCGTGCATGAGGCTTTTCCTCTTTGAATCGAAGGAGGCTAAAGGAGGCTCTTTGCCTTGTGCCTGCTGGCCTGGTGGGAGCCTCTTGCATGCAAGAATGAATCCATGGCTCAATCGAAGGGTGCAACCCATGCTTGCATCGAAAGAGGCCAGAAATCCAATCGAAGGATGTGGATTCGAAGAAAACTTTTGTCTTGTCGAAAGGCACATTAATATCTTCAATTTCTTTTTCATTTTTCTCTTTTCCTTTAAATAGGTGTTTGTAATCACACATGTGAGAGAAATCTTGAAAAAATGAGAGGGCAAATTTTGGGGTACAACAGAAGCATTAGAAGGCTAGTAGACAGAGTGTTAAATGAAGGCTTTGTTGTTCCTGGGATTTCTACCCCTCTTGCTCGTATGCCTCCTCTTGCTGACAAAAGAAATGATCCTAAAAGTGTTGTTGTTGGATCATCCATATTCAAGAAAGATGCTGCTGAAAGCAAACTTGAGAAGCTTGTTACCTCTGCTCTAAAAGAAGTGGAAGAAGAAAATGTTGAACAAGATGATGAGGAAAATGTTGAACAAGATGTTACTGCCTCCAAGGATGCAGAAGGTCAAAATGCTAAGAATGTAGTCAATATAGAAGAGTTGTCTGACAATGAGCTCATTACTAATATTGTGTCTGGTATTGCAAGAAGACTCAAATCCAGGAAAGTGAAGGATGCAAGTGTCACACCCCCTGCCAAGACAATCAAGAAAAAAACCATGTATGGACCCCCAAAAGCAGGAAGTAAAGTTGTCCC